TGGAAGAGCATGAATCTAACAACTTTCACTTTTAAAAGATGGTCATTAAGAAAATTTGAGCAATAACATAGAGGAATGTTTTTTAATAGCTTTTTTCCCCTCTGTAAATGTATGTCTCTTGCTTCCTACTGAATTTTCTCATTGTTTCTTGTATTATTTCAGCTTATACTCTGAGCACATCTATTGATTTTATTAGTATAATCTTAAGGAGAAGAATAGAAGTACAGAAATTAAACAGATATTAAGAAGGAAAAATATTTTTTATTTTTAATAAATCACATTTTCTTAATTTTGGATACAAGTGAGGCTCTCACTAATAGTTTCCTTCATTGTCATTGTAAATTATTGTGATGGGTATGATTTTAAAGTCATCCCTGTCATGTCACATCCTGCTCAGAAATTTTCCGGTGGCTCTTTACTGCTTATAGGAACCTTTTCTGCATGCCATTTCAGCCAGCACTCTAATCAGACCAACTCTCCCTATTCAACAGAGCTCTTCAAAACAGCCAGCCTGCTTATGCATCACCTTTCCATAGACCTGGGCATCTTCTCCTTACCCTGCTTGCATGCAAATGGTGCTCAACTTCCAGGGTGTTGTTAAAGAATCATCACACAGGATGCATTCTTCTTTATCTAACAATGAATTTTGCTCACTTGGATTTTTTTCTAAATAATTTGTTTATTGTGTTATTTATTTCCAAAGAATATGAATTGCTTACCATATGCCATGTACAGAGCTTAGTTATGATTGCAAAACTGAATGGGATAGAATGGTTGTAGTTCTCATAGGATAAGATTCTTTTAACAGAAATGCACATAAATTTCTTGAAGAAGAGAAGTCCTCATGGAGTAGAAGAAGGCCATGAATAATAGATTCCTTGAGACATATGATGGAAAATGGTTACTTAATTCCATTTCAGCATTTTAAATATTTTGCTTTTTTGATTCTTTGTTGGAACAAATCAGCAAGATTAAAAAAATGCAGGCAAATGTTGGACCAAAATTTTTACACATACTTCATGTCCAAAAGAAAACAGAAGAAATGAAAGATGAAAATAAGCAGTATCTCTGGATTTTCATTCATCTCCTAGAATCTAATTATCCACAGTAGGATTAATTATGCAGAAATCTGATACATTCAGATTAAAGTAGTCCATTCTTGCTCTTGATATTTAATTTCCTCTTTGATTCTAAAATAAGCACCATCACTCTCCAAATAAGATTAAAGGTAGGACCAATAAACTTTTATACACTGAACTTTTAAAAGGTCATTTGAAATGGTGACATAATAAGAATATGTTCCCAAAAATAAGCATAGATAAAAATGCGAAGGCCAGAGATGTTGAACATTTTTTTCATATATTTGTTGATTGAATGCATAGCTTCTTCTGAGAAATGTCTGTTCAGCTCCTTAGCCCATTTATTGATTGGGTTGTTTGTTTTTTATGTGTTAAGTTTTTTGAGTTCTTTATATATCCTGGAGATTGGTGCTCTATCTGAAATGTGACAAAAATTTGCTCCCAGAATGTAGGCTCTCTCTTCACCTCATTGATTGTTTCTTTTGCTGAGAAGCAGCTTTTTAGTTTGACTCCATCCCATTCTTGATTTTATTTCTTGTGCTTTATGTTCAACATTTCTAGTAATCAGAGAAATGTAAATCAAAACTACTTACGCCAGCTGGAATGGCAGTTATCAAGAATACAGACAAGAATAAATGTTGGTGAGAATGTGGGGGAAAAGGCACACTCATACATTGCTGGTGGAACTGCAAATTGGTGCAACCAATCTAGAAAGCAGTATGGAGATTCCTCAAAAAACTTGGAATGGAACCAACATTTGATCCAGCTATTCCAATCCTCAGTCTTATATGCAAAGGACTTAAAATCAACCTACTATAGTAATGCAGTCACATCAATGTTTATAGTAGCTCAATCCACAATAGCTAAACTGTGGAAGCAACCTAGATGCCCCTCAATAGATGAATGGATAAATAAACTGTGATATATTTACACAATAGAATATTACTCAGCATTAAGAGAATAAAATTATGGCATTTGCAGGTAAATGGATGAAGTTGGAGAATATCATGCTAAGTGAAGTAAGCCAATCCCCCAAAACCAAGGCTGAATGTTCTCTCTGATAAGTGGATGCTGATCTATAATGGGGAGTGGAGAGACATGAGAAAAATAGAGGAATTGTGATTGGGAAAAGGGGAGGGAGGGTGGGGAGGGTGTATGGGTGCAGGAAAGATGGTGGAATGAGATGGACATCATTACTCTAGGTACAAGTATGACTGCATATAGAGTGTAATGCTATATGGTGTAGAACCAGAGAAATGAAAAGTTGTGCTGCAATTGTGTACAATGAATCAAAATGCATTCTGCTGCCATATATACCTAATTAAAATAAATAAGCTAATTTAAATAAATAAATAAAAGATAGATAAATAAATAAATAAATAAATGCAAAGGCATTTCTCTGTTTAAACTACTTGTAAGAAAGATTGCACAGAACTTTGCATTTTTTTGGTTTGTATTTACTACCTTTTTGGAAATTCTCTTTCAGCCTGAGACAGTCATCTTTGTAGTTTTCAACTTCTTGTCATGCGCATCTTTATTCTTCCCATCTTCTGCTGTTTATTTGTCTATCTGGATTGCAACATCCAATTCTCTTGGAAATTTTGGTGCTTGCTGATAACTCATTGTTAAAAAGTGAAGACAAACAGATAGACTATATTTTGGCACCACCTTTGATATTAAGTAGATTTATGTGAGGGTTAGCCAGTGGAATTTGAGCAAAACTTATATGCAGCACATTGAAGCTCATAAAAAACTTCCATGAATAATTCTCCATTGTCCTGCTTCTGCAGATTGAGGAGAGCTGTGATAAGCTTAAAAGCCAGGTAGGAAGGTGAAAGAGACTGAGCATCTGGATCACTTCTTGAAGGAGAGCTATTCTCTAATCAGTAGAATCTGTTCTGGTCTTCAGGTGAGCTTGAGAAATAGTATTTACTTTATGCTTTTAGCCATGTATCACAAGACAGAGATGAGCTCAGAAAATGAATTGTCAGTTTGCAAGCAGAAATAAGAGAGAAAAGAGATAGTTTAGAAATTTGATGCCTCGAAGAATTAGAAGGAGAAACTATTTCAGTGTGAACGTGAGAGTTCTAGAGGCTTTGAAAGACAAGGACATTTTATGATTTCACCTTGCAGTGAACACTCAGCTAATTTTACTGACTGTCTGAGTCTTTAAGTTATAAAACAATGAGGACAAAAGGGGAATGCAAGGATGCAAAAAAGAAGTAGGTCATTTTGGAGAAACAGATCTAGGAAAAAACTTTGGGTGTGGTTAAGTGGTACATGAATCTCACTGAAAGCAAGTAGATATCAAGTCTTCCAAGATTTTGCTCATTTTCAAAGACTTCATAGACTCGGATGAAAGAAAAGTGTATCACTGAAGCCATAAACAAACCTATAGACCTCTCAACTTGCCAAATTGATCTGTGAAAGAGGTAGAACCCTCCAAGAGGATAAACCCCAGCGCATCACCTCAGACTTAGCCAAGAAGGCTGAAGGATAAACATGAACCTCTCCCAGTGTGACAACAGGTTAAAAACAATCCAGAACTCAGAGAAGCAACGGGTACTGGAGTGTTTTAGAGAAAAGAAGAAAGAATGCATGATGGCCCAGCTTGCGTGTTCATCTGGTGATCCCAACTCCTCAACTGAAGGTCTGCGTCTCTGGGTTCCTGAGGGTGTTTCAAGGAGTGTCACTCCAGTTTCCTCCTGCAGGGTCCTTTTCTGTCTATCATTGGACTTTCATATATTCTTCTTTATTTAGAGGCTGTGGAATCTTTTCTTAATTCCACATCCTCATGTGCAAAATTCCACCTGTCTGTGGCTTTTAGTGAAATTCTTTGCTAAACACAACTCAGTTGTTTTTTGATGTATAAAGGAAAATTTTATGGATTCAGAAATCCTTTCATTTCAAACACACATAAGTGTGCATGCACACACACAGAGACACACACACATACAGACACACACACACACACACACATATATACACAAAACCAAACTGAATTATTGGCTCTTAAGACATTTTTTAGGTTCTCTTTTAGTAGTTAAGCATGAAACACTGACTCTTTTTGCTTTCCTGAATGGCTTTGCTAAAGAGGATGACAGACACATTTGAGAATACACATTTAAAAAGACAATTATAACTTTAAAAATATTATTCTTATTACAATGCTAATAGTTGGATGTTTTCAGGAAATGTTAATTGAATGGAAATTAACTCATACCAATTAGTCTATACAGAAAAATAAGATAAGTGACAACATATAATATTAATTTGAAGTAATGTATAGTATCCTATTTGGTAAGTATAGCATAACAGAATTTTTATAGGTAGCACTGAGATCCTATGCTGGCACTCAAGAGTATACAGGATTCAAACAAATTCTGAATATCTACTTTTTAGCTCACTGAACAGTCAGAGCTAAAAACCTTATATATTTTGATTTTTTATTTCTTCATTTTAAAAGTGATTATAAGAATTTCTATATTACAGTATTTTGTTGTTGATAAATGAATAGTATGCTTCTCTTATCACACAGTGCCAGGCACTTAGCAATAACTCAAGAAAGTTAGTATGTGCTTATACCCTTTAGCTGTTTTTAAAAAATGGGATTAATTTTAATTTAAATTGAAAAAATATATCTGTAACATTTCAAATCTCTTAACTCTCTTAGCATATATAATTATTTATGCATATAGGCACATTTATAATCACTTACATATGGTTTCAGTGTATGCATATTTGTTTCTATACTCAAGTCAAACTTCTAATTGAGTTCCTGGGACATGGATGATATTCAGTAAATATTATTATATAAAACTTACTCTTTGTGCTATACTGGAGTTATCTGTTATATTTATTGGAAATGACATATCTATTTTTTTAATACTGGAAAATAATATGAATTTTGGAATGGCATACCTGGACCAAGTTCATAAGAGTATCTCTGAAGTGTCCTGAGGTCTCTGAATAAATGTCCTCTTGAAGGTTACTGCTGTATTCTAGGCAAGAAACCATGCACATTAAAGGTGATTGGTTGTGGAACCACAGACCAATATGCTTTGGTTAAGTCAATGCTACTTGCCCCAGTTGTGAATGGAAAGTACAGGAAATACGATCAATCTCATGACATTTCTTTGTCAACAAACTGTTCAAGAAATCTGTCAACTAATGGCATCTTTGGCATAGGTCTGTTGTCTTAAAAATTATCTTTATTACAACATTGAAGAAAAGAGTTGAAAATCATTCCGCATTCTCTAATTCTCAAAATTCAGAATTATGCACTCTATTTGCATAGACTGCTTCCCAGTCTAGTACCCTTCCCAAGTGCTTTGTCTCATTTTAATATTTTAAGTGAAGATTCTTCCTTCATTCTCCTTGAAAAAGTCTTGTTTTTGCTAGGAAGCAATAGAGGTGACTGTCTACATCAATTTCTTAATGTTCAATATTGCATAATGCATTATGGAATGGAACTTAAGGCATTAAAACTTGTTGAAAATAATAATAATAAAAATAAAAAAATAATAAAAATTAATTTGAAATGTGTAAGATCTGATTCTGAAGTAGATTACAGGGAGTATGTAACTTATGTAAAGTGGAAACAGATGTATTTTTAGAAGTCTCCAACAATGATTGTACTTTGCTTCCTTTTTTGGGGTTCCATTTCTCTCTTGAGTAAGAGATACAATGCCCTCTGAACCAAGATGCTGGACACCTTCCTGTCATAGGTAAAATATTCACTGCGTAGATTCTTGTAATTATTTTCCTGGAAAATTGGTTTGATTTTCTAGGGAACTATCATTTTTTTATATGCTAATCATCCTTTTTCCTTAATGAGTTTGTTGGTCTTGAGTCATTGTTTTTTTTAAAAACAAATATTTTTGTCTTATTTTTTTTCTTTTGATTGACATGCAATAATTGTATATATCTATAGGGTACAATATAATGTTTCAATTTATGAATACATTGTGTGTGCAACAATCAAATCTAGGTAATTAGCATAGCCAGCATCCTAAATTTCCATTTCTTTTTCTTTCTCTCTCTCTCCTTTTTTTTTTTTTTGTACTGAAGATTGAATGCAAAGGTGCTTAGCCACTGAGCAACATCCCCCTAGTTCTTTTTTATATTTTATTTAGAGACAGGGTCTTGCTGAGTTGCTAAGTGCTTTGCTAACTGACTTTGAACTCATGATCCTCCTGCCTCAGCTTCCTGAGCCGCTGGGATTATAGGCATTGCAACCATACCCGACAAACTTCCATCATTTATTTATGGTGAGTACATTTAAAGTCCTCTATTCTAGTTGTTTTGAGATATACAATGCATTATTGTCAACCTTACTGTGCAACAGAATATCAGAACTGATTCTTCCTGATGGTATCTGTACCAGCTCACCAGCCTCTCCCAGTCCTGCCTCCCACCCACTCTCCTCAGTCCCTGGTAACCACTATTCTACTCCTGTGAGTCATACGTCATGTAGGAGAATGTCATTAAAAATTCTTTAAAATATATAAATTGGAATATTTTTATGTTATTTGAAAAACATGAAGTTGTATTGTGTGCACAATATATGCTCATATTGAAATTTTCTTACGTAAACAATAAGCTTCTCGCATCTGGAAAATTTCCCCATTTGTTCTTGAAGCCAATATATCAATGAGGCAATTCTCATCAGTGCCGGCTCCCTAGAGTGACAGAGAGAAATATAAGCCAATTTACATTTGCGATAATAAGAAACCTGATATTCAGTGAAGGCATACAGCATTCTGGTGTTCTGAGAGGCGGCAAATGGGAAAGGAAGCATTTGGGATAAATAGCCCATTTTCAGTTCAGGCTCTTTCACTTACTCACGTTTAATCCTGAGAAGATAATATTATTTAAGGAAATTCTTTTCCTTCCTTGAGAGTAAAACAGCATGGGTATTTCTAACCAATGTGGAAAAAGACACTGAGCATTTCCATCTGTTTCTGGAATGGAATTTGAAATTCCAGGTGTTGTTAGGCAATCAGTTCTTAAGCAAGCTGAAAAGAGGACACATGTCTTCTACTTTCCCAAGGACGTTTTGGGGATCAAGCTCTGCCTCTCCCTAGATGGGTAATTTTGCACAATTTTCCTTAGCATTTGAGTTAGGAGCTTTCTGTGGGCTCTTATACAGAGATAAATATATTAGTCTATGATAGTGATTTTAAAGACACCACATCTTTTTTTTCCAGGAAAACCTCAGGAATCATTACCATTAATAGGAAATATTGATTAAAATATAGTAGTTTCATCTAATCAGCAACATAGGACTTTTAAAAATTATTTTTAGTTGTCGATAGAACTTTATTTTTATTTATTTATATGTGGTGCTGAGAATCGAACCCAGTGCCTCACACATGCTACACAAGCGCTCCACCACTGAGCTACTATCCCAGCCACAACATAAGACTTTTTATTTCAAATTATAGTTATGTAATTTTGTCAAAAATGGATATGAAACATTTTTTTTTAAAAGTGATCAATTGAAATTTGTATGACTTTCAGACAACATCTATTTTGATCAGCAAATATGATGGCCCAAATCTATGTTCCTTTAATTATGTTGTCTCTTGCTTCTTTCCTGTCACACATCGCTCACATATTGTGGTATTCTGGTGGTTGTCAGGCATCATATTGGAATAATTGGTTCTGCAGGTGTTTAATGTCAGTTTTGGAAAGAAGGAAATAGCTCTCTTTTTCTCATGTTCCTAGACAACAAAATCTGTAGTCAATTTATTTCATGGAAATGATTTAACAATTTCTTTCTGTAAGGTGAATTCATTCTAATTCTTCAAAAGTAAAATTTGATACACTTGAGCAATAGTTTTTGTAAAGGACTAATTTAATATCATTTAAAAAGTTGTCCTCTATAAGATCATAAAAATAAAGATGTTCTCTGTTTCCGATTCAGTATCTTTTTTTGAATCTGAACCAAACTTTTACAAATGATTTTAGAAATTCACATGAATTTTTAAGATATCTTCTTCAATATATGAATACCTATCAAAGAGAGACAAATATGAATAACCCTGAAGGCTGGCTGGCTTTCCTTCCTTCCTTCCTTCCTTCCTTCCTTCCTTCCTTCCTTCCTTCCTTCCCTTCTTCCTTTCTTTCTTTCATAGCTGAGTTTGGAGTTGGCTTGGTAAGTCTGAGTGTCTACAACTACAGAACAGACTGATTCTAGCCACAGGACTCTGGAGACTTCCTCCTCCTAACAAGGCTCCTTTCCCCAACCACAATATTTCCATTGTTACATCATTGCTTAGATATATTCTCCTCTCTTGCCAATCATAAAAGTATGTAGGAGCATCACGGGAGAGTTTCCCATCTATTAAACATCAGGTTGTGCCTGCTACAGGTATAATTTTTGCATAGATCACTACCTTCATGGCATGCCACAGTTCATGAGCATCAAAAGATGGTGGAGGGTACATGAGGCCAACCATAACCTCTTTGAAATGCGATGAAAGCTGCTCCTTTAGGTCCTCAACCAGGTTCTGTGGGGGAGAAAGTAAATATTTTTATTATATTAGTTACCAAACTTACAAGAGGAATGGAATAATTGCAGGAAGTCTGTTATTAAGAGTTACTTTTCTGTGTTATTTCACATAGTAAGAAATCTGTTTCAATTCATGCATATATCTATGGATTTCCCAAGAGGATTGATTTGAGGGTTTGAAAATGACTGATTTAATCTTGTCTCTACATGATAAAGCACATAGACTTGTGGTCATATCTACATAGAAGAATTTTCTTTCCCTATTCCCCAATCCCAAACCTTCCCTTTTGATCTCTCTATGAAAATACATAGAACTTGAAACCTGAAAATATTTTAGTTGAGAGTTCTTGGTTTTCTTTGTAGAATTAAAAAAAAGTAAATAAATTCTTAAGAAAAACATGTATTTTATCATCACAATAGTTTTTTTTTTTATGTAAGTTTTTAGCAGGGTGTCTTTAGTTATGCTATGGCTAAAAACTTACATAAATTGATTAAATAATCTTAGAACTTTCTTCAATCAACAGCTGCATTATTCAAGATATTGAAAGTTAAATGCTTCCAGAGAAAAATGTTCAGTGTTCATTGTTCTTGGAATGTAGGCATAAAAAATATGAAATTGATATTTTTAATGTTTTGCCTTTTATTTTTCTAGTATAGAAAGGAAATTAAGAAAAGTACGTGCCAAGTTAATTTTCTGTAGTTACCAAGACATCTGAAAGATGTTTAAAACTTACTGCCTTTTGCTAAAATGTGCAAATATCTAATTTTACTTAAAAATCTACAAGAGTATTTTAGTTCCATGGTCGCTCAATGATAGAATTTAAATAAAAGATAATAAAAAGGCATCATATATTATATTGAATAACAACAAAATGATCATAATTTAAATTTCATTTAGTATTATCCAACAAAACCTTTTCTATGCTATGGATTTTAATTTTAACAAATAAAAGCATTCATCCACAAAGTGCTAATTGTTAAAATTGAAACTCTTTGATTTTTTTTTTTTTGCTAGGGCCAATCAATGCAGTTTCTTTAATGATCAATTAATAAATGTCTGAAGTTGTGCCAGGTGGTTGGAGTAGAGTAAGAAGCACATGATATCTCCTGTCCTATTTAATTTCCTTGCAATCTTCTGTGGTACATTTCCAACTCCTTTACTGAATAGTCCTCAAGGGGCCATTCCGAACCAGACATTGTTCAGATGTTGGAGCTATCGCAATGAACAGAGATGAATGAATGTTCAAGCCTGAGGAGATTGAATTCTCGTGCACACAAAAGGAACTCAATAAACTCAGGTGTTAATTGAATAATGTTTCCTGGACACATGGCCTGTGAAGGAGCAACCTGGAAAGAATTAGAAATACTCTGTATCTTGATTCAGATTGTGATCACACTGCACCAAAATCAATGAATTTTACTTTATATAGATTATACTCATTGTTATGGGTTTTTAAGTTTCAATTGATAAAATGTAATTTTAACATATATAAAGTGAATGTTTTCTAAATCCTCAACATATTTAACCTTTAAACTAGGTCCTCTATTGTATGTATGTCTTACTACTTAACCCCTGGCTTCAAGTTATTTATCCTGTTCTGGCAGTTTTTATCATTATTCCATTCTAGTGTACTTTAGGAAAAGCACAAACCCTATCACTTGATTGGTGTCATAAAGCAGAGAATATATGAATATGTATTTTTTTGATACTGAGATTGAACCCAGGGACACTTTACCACCAGGTGACACCTCCAAACCTTGTTTTTGTAAATTTTTAATTTTTTTTTTTTTAATTTTGAGAAAGGCTTTTGCTAAGCTGCTGATCTTGGCCTTAAACTTGTGATCCTCTTGCCTTGGCCTCTTGAGTTGCTGAGATTACAAATGTGCACCATGATGCCCTGCTAATGCAGTGATTCTTTAATAAGGCTGAGAGGGAGGACATGTGAGAATGCTTTAGGGGACAGGAGAAGTCTCTAGAATTAATCATATGAGATTCATACAGTATCCTGTTTGGAAGTGGGATGTGTTGGCTCCAGCTGAAAATCACTGACATAGAAAAAATCAGGACATATGCAATTAGAGAAATTCTATAATCTAGAATATAATTAAGGACCAAAATGAGGCCCTGAAGGGTAGAGCATTACAGTTTAGAAAATTGTAAGAATTCGTTAAAAAGAGATAATATGAGTAAAATGGAGTTTCGTGGATTGTGTAGTATAAGTGAATCCTTGAAAGATGAAGTGGTATTCAGTCAGGCAAAGGCTTAGAAGATATCAAAATAGACAATGTTTTAGGACAGAAAAGGCCCTGTTCTGGGTAGAGTAGAATGTGTGTATGAAATATTCAAGGTAGTTTTAAACAAGTGTTGGATTGATTTGAAATCTAAATTCTTTTGATTTACTTAAATCTAAGTTCAGATGTTATTTATTCCAACCTCCCTGTAAGTATAAAGAGGAAAGGCCTTCACAGTGGAAGTTTGACCAGGTGGGTAGAAGAGGGTGATGATGATAATAACTAGACATGTTTTTAGACTGCTGCCTATTTGCCAGAAGGCATTCTTAGGGTTAGACAAACTGTAATAATTCACTACTACCACTTATGAATTAGGAGCTGTGTTCATCACACTGTGTAGATGAGAAATCTGCACACAGAGGTCACCTAGCTAGCTCCATATAACTTATGGACCTCCATCTGAGTGATGGAGCCTGGATTTGAAACAAGGCATTCTGACCCTCCAATTTCTCTTATTTTTTGTAGGCCATAGGAAACCATAAACGATACATCAGCAAGGTGATGAATTTTGCATATAGGTGGTTGATGCGGCATTTCTGGACACTTAGATCTGGTGACACTCTACTGAAGGTTTGAATGCAAATAGGTCAATTCAATATACATTCATAATAAGAGGATAATGGTAGTTGGCCACTGATGGAAGGTGAAACATTACAATTATCACCTATTTCATGAGTCTCTCTCTAATCCTACCTTGATTATTTTCCAACACTCTCTTTGAATATGCTATACTACATTTTAACAATCATGTTGTATAATAAACATTTGAGTTGCATCCTCCCCCCCAGCCCCGCCCACCCCCAAAGTCTATCTGGACATGGACTTTTGTCAGGAGCTGTCCTGGATGCAGACCTTCAAGTCCTGATGCCCCAGGACACTGACCAATTATTGCCTTCAGTCTGGAACGACAGTGCCAGCTCTTGCAGTAACTTGGGGTGTTACCCCAGCTCGGATAGCAAGGCGTGGCTCCAGGTGTAGGTGTCACCCACAGGGGTTGAGTTACACTCACCTGTTCCTTTGTAATTCTACCCCTTGCCTCATTTGAATGGCTTATCCCCAATAAATGGGTTCAGCACCTGTTCCTCACTCTCTTTCTTGCCTGCCTTGCCCCCTTTGTAGGAACTGCAGCTGAGGAGTGGTTACTGAACCCAAAGAAAAGGTACTTCCTTTGTCTGTGTCTTTATTTATTCCCCAAATTCACTTGGAATGACCCTGACTGATTCAATCATGAGACGTGACAGACTTTCACAGAAATTTTCCTAAATTCAGCATTTAGTCCTTGTAGTTATAGTTATATAAAATGAGAATATACAATATAAATTATTTTATAGACAGATGAAAGAATAAAAAATGAGTAAAGGAATGCGGTATGAAAAACTTAACCAATTGTATAAAGAATAAAGGCAATATTTAAAGAGGACTTGAGCATTGAAAAAGCCTTTTATTTAACCTTTACTTTCATTTCTTTGATCTCTATCCTCTACATTTATTTATCCTATACATTTATAACAATATCTTTAGTTTATGAATTTTACCATTTTATACAAATACTGAATATTTGTATGTATTCCATTATAGACTGAGATTAGTACTGCCACTAGATGGCGGTATTTATCCATATTTTGTAGTGTGTGTGTGTGTGTGTGTGTGTGTGTGTGTGTGTGTTATTTCAGTGAAATATCACAATTTAATGAAAAGAAACAGTATTAGTTTGTTCTACTGTATTAAAATATATAGTTTTCAGCCCTCTGTAAAGGAAAAATTATAAGATTGCCAGTATGTTAGTTAACTTCTTTGTGTATGCTTCTTTATTTGGAAAGAAAATAATAATACCTACATCACAGGGTTGATAAAAGTATTAACATATTTAACTTAGGTGAAATTCTTAAAATATTTTCTGGCACATACCAGGTACTCCAAAAATCTTTTTCCGCCTAAGATGTTCAATAATGTGTTGCAAACCTATCCTCGAGAAGCTTCCTTGAGCAGATGGTGTAGAAATACAGGCATAATAATTATGTTACAATGCAAAATGTGGTGAGGGATATAGTAGTGGGAATAGTGTGATATTATCAGGGTACCGAGAAGGAAATATTACTTTCAGTTGGGAAGATAAATATTGAATAATATGTTTAAATAACTAAGCTTTGCAAGTTCAAAGAGGAGAATTGAAATAGGCCTTCTAATTAGGGTCTCAAATTCTCACTTGGAGTTATATAAATAACTATTCAGATGCCACCTTTGGAGTGCAAGTCTACCCAGCCTTACTGCGTCTGCTTTTCTGTTTTTCCAAGACTTGCCCTAAAGCAGACTCTGCCAGAGTCACAGCTTGACCTTACGTTAAACTAATGAGTACTTGCTTTTCAAATCTAGCTGTTCCATGTGGCTGATGAAACTGCAGATTACCCATGTTGCACCTCTTCTGACCACTCCACTTTAATTAAAAATAACATGGCAGTTTCTCATTCCTTATTCTCCTTATCTTAATAGTGGAGGAGAGTGGAAAGATACAGAAGTCTGAGTAATATTTTGCTTGTCTGAATATACTCAGGGGAACGGTTTCATAGGCTTTAAACTTATATGCCTATATGCCTTTTTCTATTATCATAAAACATGATACTTACTGTTTAAACACTCAATGATACAAACCCACATAACCTGGAACTTAGAATTTGTCTTCAACGCTACCCACTCCAGCAATCACAG